GGACTCCGTGCGCTCCGGGAGACGAGCCGAAGCCCCGCGCCCCGCCTCTGGTGCCGGCGTTCCGCCTGCGTTGCGAGTTTCCAGTCTGTGTGTTCTCTGAGGCTGATGCAAAAAGTGGAGGACGTGCAAAGCGCCTCTGTTTTGCGGTCGCTTTTCCCCCCGGTGGCTGGACCGCGCGGTGGTTTCGCTGTCAAGCCGAGCGAGTTGAGATTTTCACCACGCCGCGCAGCCGCTTTCCAGCGTGTCTGTCCGCCTGGAAGTCGTCCTGAAGTTAACGAGCGGGAACGCTCCCGAGCGCCAAGGACAGCTAGCGAGACTGCCCGGGAGACAGTTGCAGTCCCTGCACTGCCAAGGCAAAGCTGTAATTACTTAGCTGCTTGTTCAGTGCTTATTTTTTCTGAAAATTCCAAAAATAGTGGAAAATGAATGCAAATGGTCTATTTTTTTTAGCTATCTTATGTTATCTTTCTCAGCTTCATCTCTTCTGTAGATTAAAATTTTTAAGTAAATTAAGTCATGTATAAGAATTCCCTTTTGGAGAACTGAAGGATATTTTCGTTTCTGATTACAAGACAGAGCTTCAGTGCAGTCCTCCTAACTACCCAAGGGTACCTCGGGTTAATTTCAAGACAGGCGCTGCCTGCGCGGTCCGGTTGGTCCCCGTCCAGGGATTCTGCGGGCCTGTTTCTGCGCTCTGGGCTTCCTGTGCCCAAATGCCATCTCCTACACATCCTTCAGGAAGTAGCTGTATTCCCAGCGCCTTCGGACTTCCAGAGTGACATTGTGTGGCCAATTGCTTATTTAATTCTATTCCAACTTACAGGTTGCATTTGTTTCGTGTCTGTTTTATATTACTAACTAAACTAACATTTTTCAGTTGGGGATTGTGAAAAGGTTCTATAATAAAGTCTAGCAATATAAGTTATTACACGACTTCAGCCAGGGAGGTAGCTGAGCGGCACAATGCCTGCCTGGCAAGTGCAAGGTCCCGAGTTGGATTCCGGGTACCCCCAAAAAGACTTGACTTTTTCTTCTCTAAGCTCATTTTGGCCGGTAAAGACTACTCAATTTTTCTTAACTGTAAGCTGCAAACTAGGAAGTTCTCAGTGATCTTTGACTCACAGAATTGTTCCAGGAATACAGGAAGCAGACTCAGAAAATGGAGAGAACAAACCAAGGCCGAGCAGCTTGGATCTCAGCCAAAGCCCTGCCACAGGACCGCTGAGGCAGACGGTGCTGCTGCCCTTGCTTGTTGCTGCGAGACACACCACCTTCGCGCGTTGCCGCGGGCCTTGGAGAGCAGGGTGCCGTCTCTGTCTGCAGCCCTGCGCTGCCTCTGAGAACTCCCCTATTGTTACTGCCATGGAAATGTCCCCACGGTTCCATTTTTCCGTGTTGATTGTCTTAGGTTTAGAACTGGAGGATTTGCCTGCTTTGCTGGCCAGGTACCATGAAGATTCCTAAGGCAGAGAACGTTTTAAACGTATAAGGGCCAGGTACGTGCTGGTCAGTGGAGGGGGGCAGCATGGTGGAACTGGGAGGAGGAGAAAAGATCTCCATGGTGATTTACCCTTTGGCTGTCCAACAGTTACATCACGTCTACATATGGCCCTCACACCCCTCTTGCAGAGTACAGGTCAGCTATATCTTAAGTATAGATATATAGTCCGTAGCTCTTGAAAGAAGAAAAACCCATATCTGCTCATTAGTACAGCTCAAAATGTAATTGGTCTTACTCTTCCTGCTGTCTCAGCTGCACATCAAATTGGGATTATTGCTGTATTCGTTAGTGGAAGAATTCTTAATACAACACTACAGTCTTCAGACCGCCAAGTCTAAAATTTTGACTACAAGTAAAATACCAAAGTGATCCACAGCCACTCCTATCCCTTGTACCCTAAAATCTTAATCTTACATCACTCTCCACCATTGGCTAGTACCACCTAACAGTGGGCAGCTGCAGCTCTACAAGCCTACTCACGGGTAAACTGTAGAAGACCGGTGAAGACAGACCCGCCTGATGGCTAGAACTCCCGGCGGGACCTCTAGTTACCCACTGCATCAGGAAAGAGAAATGGCCAGAAATACAGGTCTGTTAATTCATGGGTAATTACCAATGCACCCAACAGTTGGCTGGCCCAGGGTTTGGAATGAACAGTGTCACAATTGCATGATTAACAGCAGGGAATTTGGGCAAGTATGAGGCTGGACTCTTCAGCGTGATCTCAAAGATATTTGTGAATGTGAAACACCCACCAAAAGGCCAGTGCTGCAGAAATGACTTATAACAGTCGTACAGACGCGGGTCTGCACTCTGGGTGTCGACTGTTTTCACCAGATATCTCATCCTCTGCGTGCTAGGTGCAGGAACTCAGAAGCTGTGGCGACAGGGGTGGAGTATAGGCTTGAGCTCTCAGCAACATGTACGTTTATTCACCAGTTAAACTGATGAGTGAGTGCTGACATTGCGTACCCGTGCTAACAGCAGCACAGCCCAACCGCGAGCTCTCAATACAGTGAAACGCCTGGTTTGTGGGGGCCAAGCCAGCCTTTTCCTGCCAGGTTGATGACCCTGACCTCTGACCTCATGGTGTGGGTAGAGATTTGTCTTCACTAAAACACACACATTCAGGATAGGATATCGTCTTCCTTGCAACTAGCATTTGCCAACACCACCATCCCTGGAGTAATAGAATGTCTCATTCACTATCATGGCAATCCATGTAACATTACATCTGATCAAGAAACATTTTACAGCAAAGTAAGAATTCATAGGCTCACATGTATGAAGCCAAATTTTCTTACCATGCATTCTGTAACCTGGAGGTGGGTGGACTGGCTTCCTGGAGATATTACGATGGCATTTGGGAGATAATGACCTGGAATGATGGGGTTCTGTCTCAGAGGAAGCAGTATGTGCTTTATGTCACCACCTACTGAATGATATTTGTCTACCTCCATAAGTAGGCAAAACAAGAGCTCAGGAGTGAAAGAGTGGCATCGCTCACTGGTACCCCTAACAACCGCTTGGAGAAGTTCTGCTTTTCATTTTCTCTCTTCTGACCCAGAAATGACTCAAGTTTCTTTTGTTCTTAACTCATTGGTCAGAATAGATCACTTGGCTCCACTCAACCTAAAAGGGGTTACAAGGTACAGTTGTACTCTGTGTTTAATATACAGAGGGTCTACACTACTTGAATGGCATAAACAACAGTTGTAACCCTTAAGCCATTAGCCATGGGTGATTAACATGAGGCATAGACAAATGAACGCAGGGACCATGACCTCAACCCTGTGGTTAATACTCAATTATCTGCAAGTGGACAGTTTCTTACATGAAATTTCTTGCTGGCTTTGAGAATTCAAGCATGCATTTCAAATTATTAACTTCAATTTTCTCATCAACAAAGTCAGATAATTAATAGTAGCTACTTCAAAGGTTATAAGGATCAAAGAAACTAATATCCATGAAATCATTTGTGAACTAAATAGCTATGTAAATCTTAGTGGTTTTATTACTATTACCATTAATATTATTAGTATTGTACGGTTGCCATATTTGCCCTGTAATTTCACTTAGAGTCCTACTCAAGAAGGTTGAGATTAGTTCCTATAATGTTGTGGAATACTTTGTAGCTTTGACTAGAATGTGTGTTTTTAAAAAGGTTTCCCTTGCTATTATGGTGACACTGGCAATTTTAATTCCTCCCTCATTTAATGAAATAAATAAATAAGAAAATAAAATGGTAAGGCAACATAAATTTGAATACTGTAACTTTAACTCAAAAAATCCAATGGAAATAGACATAACCCCATGAACTAAAATACAGGAGATACTAATATCCATGAAATCATTTGTGAACTAAATAGCTATATAAATCTTAATGGTTTTATTACTATTACCATTAGTATTATGATATTATAGGAATGGATATAGGGTATAATGAATAGGATATAATAATCCTGCTATCAAAAGCAAGAACCTAAGAATGATTATTAGTTGAAATAAAAAGTAAATTTATTGCATAACACAACTGAAAATACAAAGGGTAAATTTAAGGCATAGTATGATCATTGTTCAATGACTATGACCTAATTAGTTCTATAAGTGGGCTGATTTTAAGAAGCTTAACATTGCCAAATTTGTTTCCCATATATTGATGTTTTTAATTGAAGACAAACTTTCAGTTGTTTATAAAGCTTTTTAGATCCACCATAATCTCTTTCTGCACTCAAATCCACCAGATAGACCCTTGCTATCATGGAATTTCACTTAAGTAGTACCATTATAATCAGAATTTATCTGCAGTTCTTTAATGATATTTTCTTTAAGAAAACTTTAGAAAAAGTTGTTTCTAGTAAATTACAGTAGATATGTTTGGTGATAGCTTTAAATGCAAGTGTTATGAAACATAGAGGAACTATATCATAAAAGCAAGATTAATGCTTTCTTTTTAAAAATAGTATCTTTATTTGAGATATAATTCATATCCCATACAATCCATCCATCTAAAATAGACAAATCAATAGTTTTTAATATATTCACAGTGTTTTGTAACCATCAACAAAATCAGTGTAGAACATTTTCACCCTCCCCAGCAAAAAAGCTCTATTCCCATGACTAGCTGTTCCCACTTATCCAGACCTTGGAACTTCTAATCTACTCTTTATCTCAATAGATTTTTCCTGTTTTGCATATTTTACATAGAATCTATAATATGTAGTCTTTTGAGACCAGCTTCTTATACTTGGCATAATCTTTTTCAAGTTTGTTACAGCATGTAACAGTATTTCATTCTTTTTATCACCAAATAATATATAATTTTATGAATGTATCAAATTTTATTTACATCTTTGTTGGCTAATAAACACATGCATTATTTTCTCTTTTGGGCTATTATTAATAATGTGGCTATGAACGATTACATACAAGTTTTTATGTGGCTTATTTTCATGTTTCTTGGGTGTACGTCAATAAATGGAATTGCTAAGTATATAGTAACTATTTTTAAGCTTTTGAGAAAATGCTTGGGTGCTTTGCTGTACTATATTACATTCCCACCTGCAATGTATAAAAGCTTCAGTTTATCTACATCATTGACACAACTTGCGGTTGACATTTTTGGTTATACCCATCCTAGTGTTGTGAGGTAATATTTGTCATTGCTGTCTTCATGTGCATTCCCCTGATGACTAACGACACTGAGAATGTTTTCATGTGATTGTTACTGCTTATGTCCTATGTAGAAATATCTATTTAGATCCTTTCCATAGTTTTGAAATATTTGACTTTAATTTTATTTACTACAGTAAACTTTTATTTACTACAGTAAACATTATTTTAATTTCTAAATGCAAATCTTTTATGAGATATATTCATGAAAATATGTGTCATATTTGGTGGATTGCTATTCTAGTTTAAATCTAAAATGTCCCCCAAATATCTCATACATTTGGAAAGTGATGGGATGATAGGGACGGTGTAGCGGGTAGGAGGTGGGGCCTGGTTGAAGGTGAGTCACTGGGGTGTGACCCGGAAGGGCATATTCTTACCCTGGTTCTTCCTCCTCTCTCTCCTCGCTTCTGAAAGCTACAGGGTGAACAATCGTCGTCTGCAGTGCCACTCCAGCACAGTGCTCCTGCCGAGCAGCCAGCTGCCCGAGGACGGAAACCGTGAGCCACGGGAAACCATTCCTCCTTTAAAGTGTATGTCAGTGTCACTTCTGATAAGCCTGATTCGCTTATATTTCTCTCCTTTTTCTGGTGCCGTAGCTGAGAAAATATCTGCCAGATATTGTGCTGTGACTAAATGTTGTGATCCTCAAAATTATTACCTTAAAACCCGAACCCCTAAGTATTCAGTGTTAGATGGTGTGGCCATTTGGGTGTGGTTAAGTCATCAGAGCAGAACCCTCATGGATAAGATGAATGCCCTTGTGAAAGGGACTTTAGAGAGCGAACCTACTTATTTTCCCATGTAATGTTGCCGATGTAGAACTGTAACTTCCAACCCCCTAGATGTCAGATGTGCTGAGTTCATGTCCCCTGAATATCAAAGAATGAATTCCAAAAGATAATGGTGGTCCAGAGTAGGAAAGGTTTATCAAGAGATAGCTCGTGAGAGACAGGAGGGTTCCTCAAAGTGTACTGCCACCAAAGCACTTTGTCAGGGATGATTTATAAAGCAGAGTCACAATGTGTATGCAACATGGGTCAAACTACAATCAAGTAGAGCTGCTTAGCTAATATTGCACCAATGGGGAAGTGTGTATGTAGCGAGGGTATATGGCTGGCATCATTAACCTTGGCCTAACTTGGTCTTCTAAAGCAGAAACATTTTTGGGAAGGGATGGGTCCAGATGTTCTGGTCACGCACACCATGCCCAATGCCTGTCTGGAGTTAATGGTCTAGGTGATACTAGTGACAGTATAATCTCAAGCTATTGTTTATCCCTTAGGGAAGAGTGCAGGCCTGACCACTGCCTCTTTATCTTGGGCCTGGCCTTCTTCAGGTGCTCCTCCAGCCACAATATTGATATCTTTATTTTTTCTGCTGACTTCTTTGAGAGCCCAGTCCTTCTCTGACTGTATACAGTATATCTATCTAATGTATCTACTTACAATATTATAGTGAAAAAGACAATTGTTCATGAACTGGTTAATAGGCTTTTGTCAGATACCCTGTCTGCCAACTTCTTAATCTTAGAATTTTCATGCCCCAGAACTATTAAAAATAAATTTGTATTTGTTAACCATTTAGGCTGTAGTATTTTTTTTTATAGCATCCTGAATGGATGAAAACAGAAAATTAGAACTAATGATGTAGGAATGACATGGGAGAAATATTGTAACTCACAACTTGCTACATGTCAGATATGCACAGTTTGTGTTCCCCAAAATCAAAGAATGAATTCTAAAGGACAACAGAAGTTAAGGGTAAGAAATTTTATTGAGAGAGTGACAGCTCCTAAAAGCCAGGAAGGGACATGAGTGGGTTGCCATGGACTCTGCTTTTCAGGGGAAGTTTTATAGAGTAAAATCACAAGGTGGGTACAAGGTGTGATAAAAGTATGACCAACCAAGAAGTTTACAAGTATAGTCATTTAGGCAATGTTCATCCAGTGGAGAAACACATCATGTGACAAGTGTACATGAAAAGCATAAATAACTTTTCAGGAAGAGGATGGGTCTGAGGGTTTTTGTTACCCACTGAGATAGCTAATGTCTATCTAGACTTCATTAGATCAAGTGTTACCAATTATCTTATCCCTTGGGGGAGGCACATAGGCCTGGTCATTTCATCTTTATCTTGAGGCCTGACCTCCAACAGATGCTCCTCTAGCCACAGTTGTAATGTGCTTTTCATCTGTTATATGGACTCTCTCAAGGGCCCAGACCTGTCTAACTGCCTCTAATATTTCTACCTAACTTACCTATATATAATATTTCCCCTTCTGAAGAGGTCCCCCTAACTGCCATGAAGAGCAAAGGGCAAAGACCATTCTGGCTATTTCTGGCTGAAGAGGGGCATAGCTGTGATTGGCAGACAGAGATACTCTCCAGGGTATCTCTGTAAAGGCCCTCAGTAGATATCACAAGTTCTCATCTTGGATAGGCACATAGTTTTAACTCTGCAAGAGACAAGGCCAAAACACCAGTTAAGTATGTATGGGCCAAACAATAAGATCAGCAAGACTATTATGAATAAAACCAACAAATGTTTCCAACAGGAAGAACCTCCCAAAAGAGGATAAGGAAAAGTTCCAGGCAATTTTACCATCTGACATGGGAATAACCTGTCATTTAATATCTTGAACATCCATTGAGATATTAGAAGGGTCAGGAATGTACACACAACATTCAGCTTTTATAATTGCACAAGTTGCACAAGGACCCCTTTGTGCTGCTGATAGAATGTCTAATACCATTCAATTTTGGAGGACAGCTTTCCTCATTAATTTTACTTCTTCATTTAAGAGAGAAAGAGACCAGTCGGGATGTTGGTTAAGGCCCACTGAGTATAGTTAAGCACGGCCTCAACGTGTTGCATGATGTCCTCTAGAACTAGGAAGGGATAAAGGTAGAAGCCAAATGATCACAGCAGTGAAGCATACTTCTAGGCCATTGGTGTCGTAGGCTGGGTAAGGTTTTGCAGATTTGTCCATAGTTTTGACATGCTTGCTTTGTACCCGTGCAAATCTCACTGTGAATCTCCCCATCCATCCAGGGGCTAGCCAGGGCCACAGACTGGTGCCATAGGACCAGTGAGTGTCACTGAGAGTTTCTCATTTAATTCCAGGGCAATGTCCATACTAGAAAGGAATTGCACTCTCCTTTAAATGGTAAACAAATTAGTAAAAGGGCTAAGAGTAACATCCTAGATCACTTATCTGAAGACTGTTTTCTTTTTGAACAAAAATTTTAAGTTTTCTGTGGGTTCACAGGGGTGTTTGGATGGTTGCTCACACTTAGTGACAGTCTCTAGTTCCCAGGACTTGAGTCGGGTGTGGTGTATACTGGAGTCCAGGCTTACAACCTTGAGAGCTGATGGAGTTGACAGGGTCACAGTGTATGGTCCTTCTCAAGTAGGTCCTAGGGAAGGGGATGATGAGGGAAGAGACTTTACCAATACTAAATCTTCAGGTTGGAATATGAGATTTCCCTTTTTTTAGAGTGAGTTTCCCTTAGCTGTTAGGCATTAAGGTGACATCTTTTAGTAAGGCATCTGTTTCTCTATTGAAGAGAAAATCATTAAGGGTATCCATAAAGCGTTTCAAATGGACTGAGGCCTAGAATTCAAAGTGCATTTCTTAATTTGATAAGAGCTAATGGTGGCAAGTGCGGCCCCTGGAGGTTAAGATTTTCAAAGGCCAAAAGCAGCTGGGAATCTGTATGTAAAAGAATATAAATGTAAAAGAATATAAAAGAAGGCATCCTTTAAATCTAACACTGAAAATGAGCCAGCATCTTCTGGATCTGAGACAGGAGTGTGTACATGTTATATGCCCAGATGAGTGGACACTACTGCCTCATTTATCAATCTAAGGTCTGGTACCAACCTACTGTCTCCACAGGGTTTTCTAATTCCTAACACTGGAGTGCTGCATGAACTATTACAGATTTTAAGTAAACCTTCTGCCCTTAAATTATTGATTATGGGCAATAATCCTCTTTTAACTTCAAGCCTTAGAGGGTATTATCTCTCGCTATGAAGAGTACTAGGATCTTTGAGGTGTATTTGCACCAGGGAAGCTCTTATTCTTCTATCTATTCTGTCTTTAGTTGCCCATATTTTAGGATTATTTCTGTCTCTATGAGGGGGAGTCAGTGTGCCTGACCTGGGTGCGTATTCATTACAGTCCTTAAACAACATAAAATGTCTCTCCCCAGGAGAACTGGAACTTCAGGCTCAATTAAAAGGAATGAGTGAGGAGAAAGCTGTCTCAGTTATAGCCTGAGGGTTGTGAGAAATAGTGAGTTAGCTCCTTTCACTGAAGTATGGTGGCTGGAAGGAAGGCCAGGGCTGAAAAGCAGGACTGAGAGACACACCAGTGTCCAGCAAAAGGCTGGTTTCTTTTCCCTCTACAGTTATGATTGCTCAGGGCTTCTCCAAGGAGATGACAGACTGGCCAGAGGAAGCAGGCAGAGGGCCTTGGATCCTTCAGTCTTGCTGGACCGGCTGGGAAATGGGTCTGACCCTCAGGTCCTTCACCTCGAGCTGCAGTCCAGCTCCAGTGGTCACCTTTGCCATCAAGGCACAGCTGGGGACCTCTTACTGCAGTCCCTGCTAAGGTGGCCTCCTAAGGTTTCCCACAGTGGTGGAAGGTGAGTTTAGTCCTTGAGCTCTTCTGGGAGCCCTGAGAATCAGACTTAGGTCTACTCCTTTTAAGGCTGCAATTAGAGCAGTTGTCCTCTCTTGGTCTCTGTTTTCTTCCCTTGGCCACTCGCTGGTCTAGATTATAAAATAGGGAGGATGCAATTCTCACTAAAGTATCAAGTGAGCTATCTGGAGCAAAAGCCATCTTTTATAGCTTTTTCACAATATCTGAGGCTGGGGGCTGGGGATTTAGCTCAGCGGCAAAAGTGCCTGCCTGGCAAGCGCAAGGTCGTGAGTTCGGTTCCTGGTACCGGAGAAAAACCAAAAAAAAAAAAAAAAAAAAAACAATATCTGAGGCTGATTGAATAATAAACTTGTCTTTCAGAATAATCTGTCCTATCAAATCAGGATCCAGGAATGTATGTTTTATCAGTGCCTCTTACAAATGATCTAAGAAGGCACAGGGGTTCTCATCTTCTCCTGATGAATAGTTGACAGTTTAAAATAATTGAATGGCTTAATTCTTGTCCTTCTTAGACCTTCAAGAATAGATGGCTGAAGACCTATTCCGATCTCCTGTCTGGTTGGTAGGCCAGTAGGGAGCTTGTGCAGGGACTGCTTGGGCTCTAGTAGAAGCCATTCCCCTGGCTGATTGTCTTCTGGCCTTCCAAAAGTAACAATGTTCATCTCCACGTGTAATAGCTGCTTGTAATGCTGCTTGTCTCTTATTAGAAATTAATATTTGATTTAAGAGAAACATTACATCTTTCCAGTCTAATTCGTAGGTCTGAGTAAGTCCTCTAAAGAACTCAGTATACTTGTCTGTGTCATCTGAAAACTTTCCTAGATCTTGCTTGATCTGTTTGAGAATGCTGAGAGAAAAGGACACACAAACATGGGTATGGCCAGATTTGCCATTTACTTCCTATAAGGGAGATTATCCTTGAGGGGCTTGAATAAAATCAGCTCAGGGTGGGTATATCTCAGTTGGGGCTTTCATCACAGCTGGTTTAGAAGCCCCACCCTTAAAGTCCAGAGCAGAAGTCCAAAGCCTCCGGCTCCAAAGGACAACTGGGGGAAATCCATGCTCAATAACAGCAGAAGAGGCTTTGATTAAAGTTGCCTTGAAAGCCTCATCCTCAGGTTCAGTTAGAGAAGGTGAGGATTTGGTTAAGATTGTCTTGGAAACTCATCACCAGCATCCAAAGGGCAAAGGTCGGAAGCCTCTGGCTCAGTGATAGTGGATGTCTTCAGGCCAGAAGTGTCCGATTTTCCTGTGGCTTACATTTACATTTTGAACATAAGTAAGAATTATCTCTTAATGCAAAGAAAATCTGAACATGAGGTAATTCTGACCATTTTTCCTCTCTCTTACAGTACAGTTCTAGTTGTGAAGTAGTATCAAGATCAGTACTTCCCTCTGCATTCCATTTTGGCTCTAAGGGGGAGACAGGCCTTGTGCAGTGGTAGAAAAATATTAAACTACTCTTTCTCAATATGTGAGAGTTGAGCAGTTTTCCAGCTTGAGAATACATTCCAAAGGGGTAAGAGATTTTGACATTGGGTCTCCCATCTGAAATACAAGAAGAAACTAAGCATCGCTTTTAATTCTTACTTGATTTCTGTATCCTTTCAAGGTGTCCCTGAGGTGAGTTGCTCCAGAGCAGGTGGTTGCCGTCTGGACAATGGCCAGGAGATAGGTCAGGTCAGACTAGCCACACTTACCAGCTTGTGCCCCATCTCCCCGAAAAACTCACACTCCGAAGTCCAGCGTGCGTTTCTAAAGGCACAAACTACAATTGATTCCAGCTGTAACAGTCATGTTTAAAGAAGGAAGTACTGCTAGCAAACCCAGTAATCAAGAGATCTGAAGCACTGCTTTCCAAGTTCAAAGAGAGTGTGATAAAAAGATCAAAGGGCAACTTGGAAGTGATTGAAGCATTCCCCTACTCAAAATCTACTTAAAATTTCTATGTTACTAAGGCTCGCAGATTAAGTTTATACCCATTGCGTAGCAACCACAATTTACACGTTAGTACACGCACATTTGTTAGTTTCCTAAATATGCACAAAAGAAGAGAAAGACTTCTGCTCCTACCTAGCATACATAAGGCACAAGTGTAAATAGTTCCTGTGATAGCCTTGTAACTCCATTAAAGGCAAACAGTTGTTGCAAGCTATCTCAGCCTGACCTCCCGGAGGGCGGGGCAGTCTATCTAGATGAACATAACTTGTTAGATTTACAGCCTTGCTACTAGAGGGGACTTTGCTTCAAGGTGAATTATACTTTGAATATCACCCACATCGGAGTTGAATGAGACATTTGACTTTAGACATTTAAGTGATGTTGAGGTGAGTTAAAATTTTTGAAACTATTGGTATTAAATAAATTAAGTTTTCATTTAGAAGGACACATATTTTGGGGACCCAGGATTTGAATGCTTGCATGTCCCCATATGAATGCTTGCATGTCCCCATATAAGAAAACTTTACAATAAAAACGAGGCAGATTTGTGTAGGGATTACACTAAATCTTTTGATCAATTTGTAGAGAAAAGCCTTCTTGATATTATTGTCTTCTATCTTGGACATCTTTCCATTTATTTAGGTCTTTTAAATTTTTTAAAAAATTGGTGATTTTCAGCATATAATTTTAAAATTTGTTTTATTGAATTTATTCCTAGATATTTTATGCTTTGTGATACTGAGATAGGAGATTAGGGTGTGGAAAATCTGGATGAGGAAGTAGACATGACCTGTTAATTACAAGGTCTTGGAACACAAGTGCAGAATATTTCCAAACCCCTACATGTGGACTTCTCATGAGAACTCAAGCAGGTTTTGAATAGGATGACCTAGACCTGATGTTAGCCTGAGGCATGGGATCCCAGCACTGCCTGTCAGGACCTGTGTGTAGTTCATTATGTCCTCAAGATATGGGTGACATAAATGATACAGACTCCAAGAAGTAGTTGTTATCATTGCTTTCCTCAAATAGCCTCCCCTGTGTCCTCCAGGGTGACTTTTTTGCTGTAGCCCAAGCTTGCTCTGCACAATCAGTTTCTCTCTCACTCTTCCTTGTTACTTTTACAAATAAACTTTGTGATCACTTTGTGCTGTTCTCTTTCAATTCTTTGTTCTAGAGGGGAAGAACCTGGAATCCCACTGCAGAAAGATTCCAAGCACCACAAAACCCAGGAATATTTATTTGGTGAGCCACTTTTCAGAGGAGCTACCCAATAACAATACTAATGTAAATGGAGTTGTATTCTGTATTTTATTATATAGAAATAGATCTTTAAAATATTGAGCTTGTGAGGGCTGGGGATGTAGCTCAGAGGCACAGTGCCTGCCCGGCAAATTGAGGCCCTGAGTTCGATTCCTGGTACCAAAAATAACATAAAGGGGCTGGGGATTTAGCTCAGCGGCAAAGCGCCTGCCTGGCAAGTGCAAGGTCATGAGTTCGGTTCCCAGTACCGGAGAAAAACCAAAAAAAAAAAAACCAAAAAAAAAAAAAACCAAAAATAACATAAAATATTGAGCTTGTATCCTTTAACTTTGCTTATTTTGGTTCTTAGTTCTGACAGTTTCTAAATAGGTTATTTAATATTTTCAATATATAAAATAAAATAATCTTCAAATAGAGGGTTTTATATGTTCTCTTTAAATATGGATGGCACATTTATTTCATTGTCTTACTGTAATGCTTACTGTAATGAACATTATTGAAGAAACAGAATTATCTGTGTATCTATCTGATGATATTTGTTATAACATACTGCTTAACAAGATTGTATAGGAAAAGTCCCAATATCCATACTTGGCAAACTGGAAACATAGGAAACTCAGTTTTATAGTCTTAAAGCCTGAGGCCCTAGACTCAGGAATAGATATTTCTATTTGAATCCAGGGACAGAAAAAAATATCCTCATCTCAAAGTCAGGCAGGCAGGAAAACTTTCCTCTTGCAGACTAACTTTTTGGCTTTGTTTAGGTTTTTGACATAAAAAAAGCTATTTGCTTTATTCAGACTTCCATTTCCAATGTCAAACTTATTCAGAAAGATACTCTCACAGACACATCTAGAAAAATACTTGATCAACCATTTGGACACCTCATGGCTTAGTCAAATTGATATGTAAAAGTAACTAACACAAGACCAACACTGTCAGTTTGGCACTTGAGATATCATAATATAAACATATATTTGGTCTTTATCTATGGTTTCTGACTAGAACTCTAAAAATGCTTGCAATTTCCTAAGTGATAAACCTGATTAAGATGAATGGACCTTATTTGGTTACTCATGGAAAATCCCTTTCATCCACACCTGAGTTTATCTTAACAGTGTTTTCTGAAATCCCCTAAAGATGGGAGGCTGGTTGCCTGAAAAACCAATACTGTGATTAGAGGAATAGGACTTTAAACTTCACACCCTGACACCCAGAGAGTGAAGAGGAACTGGAGATTGATTAAATCCTCAGTGCTCCATGTTTTAGTTACCCACGCCTCTGTAATAAAGCTTCTCTAAAACTTGCAAAGGAGGAGATTCAGAGAAGTCGGTGAATGTGCGAAGTTGCAGCTAGAGTAGCAGGGTGCCCCTGCAGAGGCCCTGGAAGCCCCCTGCTCCTTGCCTTCATAACTTGTCCCACGTACCTTTTCTTTTTGGTTGTTTCTGAGTTGTATCTTTTGTAACAGACTGATAATCTGGTGAGCAAATTGTTCCCTAAATTATGTAAACTAAGGACAGGGTCATGGGAACGTCTTCTTTGTAGCCAGCTTTGGTAAACATTGTGGGTAATTTCAAGATAAACTACATGCAACAGGCATTTGAGGTGCTGGGAGAAGTTCTCTGGGACTGAACCCTTAACTGTGGGGTCTGCGTCTACTTCCAGGTAGTGTCGCAATTGCACTGTAAGAGATCCAACTGCTGTCTGCTAGAGAATATAACTGAATTATTTGGGGTAAACAGCACTTCTTTTGTGTCAAAAGTGAAGTGCTGGGAGCACTGTGAGGTTACTAAAGAAATGCAGAGATGCTGTCCTTTTCAGAATTTATGTACGTTGCCTTCAACCATGCTTAATTCACAACAAAAACAATAAAAAACCTCATAACTCTATGTAACATGCTACAACTCTCTTGAACATAACTGTAAATGTACTAACCCTTTTCCCAGAAGAGAAGAAATCCTCAGAGAAGATTACTATTCTCTTCAGTAACTGGGCTAGCGAGCTTTCAGTCATTATGGCAAAACAACTGAAACAATCAGTTGATAAGGAGGGAAGGTTTATTTGGCCTAGACTCAGATTTCAGTCCACAGTTGTTTGTCCCCATGGTTTCCAGCCCCATGGCCATGCGAACACCACGGCTGGTAGCACATGGTGGAAACGACTTCTCACTGCACAGGAGCTAGAAAGCCAGAGAGAGAACAGGTACAGGTCCGGGTGTCTCCAAAGGCCCATCCGCAGCCGCCCGCCTCCTCTCCCTGGGCCCCACTCCTTAAAGATTCTGTTGTGACCAGTTACAGAGTCTCATGGCTTTTTTTCCAGATTCTTGGTGTCTCAGACCAAAAATTGGGCCAGACACACAGAAAAAACAATGAAAGTCTGCACGTCCTAAGATAATAAAGAAGCACGCTTTGTAGAGTGAGGGCAGGTCAGCAAAAAGGCTCAGCAGCCTGAAGATAAGGGAAAGGAGCCTCTTTTGTACCCAAAAGTCCTGAGTTGTTTCTCGTTCATGTGAATAAGACATTGGGAATGTAATCAATCAATTGGCATTATTAGATGTATAAACTGCTCTGTTAAAAAACTCATTTGGTTTCCTGTTATATGCAAATGAAGGGTCCAAAATCTGTCTTTGGATTGGTTGTGCCCACATGCAGATGAAGGATTGAAAAGAGCATCTTCTGATTGGTTGCTTGAATAGCACCGAATTCTAATGATGGATTGCAAATCACAAGTTTAGGATTGGTCCAAAATAGAACTTTTCTAGTGGGTAATGGTAATGATGCCATCATTACAGTGGGCTTGTACCTCCCTCTGGAAGTGTCCTTTACCCCGTTGTCCTATCTCACTGTCACCTTCCAATAGCACTGCAGTTTGGCAACTAAGCCTTTAACATGTACACTTCTGGGAGACAATTATCCATGCTGTAGCATTAACCAATGACAAACGCTGTGCTATGAAATTACAGATTTTTAGTACTGTACTACAAAATCCAGACATCTTATGTCACACGGTAGTAGAGTAAGAAAACCAAGGTATTTGCTTTACACACACACACACACACACACTTAAAAGAATAAAAAGTCATATTTATAACTACCTTCTTCCTCTCCCTATTCTGGTTGTGTTTGTTTTACTTGATGAGGTGACTCAAATCTTGACTCCTGAAGGGTCTGGGCAAAGCAGTGTTTTATTTTTTAATTTTTTATATGGTTACTGAGGACAGAACCGAGGGCTTTCACACTGAGCTACATCCCCAGCATCTCCCCACCACCACCACCGCTACTGAGGCAGGATCTCTCTAAGCCACTAAATTTCCTTTGCTGGACTTGAAATTGCAATCCTCCTGCCTCAGCATTCCATACTGCTAAGAATACAGGCCCATGCCATCAAACTTAGCCTGGGTAGAGTAGTCAGACCTGGTTTGAGTTCTTTTAGTTTTTCATTGACTTTTATCACCGGCCATAGTAATAATAACTCCTTGTTCTATGAAATCGCTTGTCTTCCAAACATACTTTTCCTTACTTTCATTGTGGAAAGTAACTTCCCTTCAATGGTTTTTTTAAAAAGAAATGTGAAAACTGTTAGAATTGTAACTGAGTCACCCTGCAATACACCCCTAAGTAGATAAAGCCAGGAGATCATGAAAGAAGGACTATTATGCATGATTGCCTAATTACAATGTCACAAAAGACTGCCTGAACCATAAACTTGCAAGGAGGCCCTTATAACCTTATGCAAAAAAATATTTCTACAAAGGCATCAGCCTTGTAACTCTCTGTCCAACCTCAGATCCATACCACTCTTGTTTTCAATTGCTGTGGCCAAAGATTATTGTTTCAAAATATCTGATGTGATCCTCCTGTTTTTTTCTTTAGAGACCTCTCTTAGCCCCAGTGTTTTTGAATACGCCCATGGTTTACTATGGCATGGCTATGCCCATCTGATGTTCTCAAATAAATATAACTCTTTGAAGAATCTTTGTTTTACTTAGGTTTTCATTAGCAATAATAACCCCAGCTGTCACAGTAACTCCCTTCTTTGTGTGCTGATTCAGAGGCAGAAGGCAGTCTTCACTTCCAGTTCAGTGGAATCATTGTGTTCCCTGGTGGAAACATCCCTGCCTTTGTAACTAAGACCACTATTCCAACATGGGATGATAGGGGAACAGTTGGCAAAGTGAGTCACTCGGGATAGCAGTCAGTTGATCGCTAGCACTTGATTCCTCGACCTATGCATTCTACCTATTAGGAGAAAAAGCACTGTAAATTGGATTCTGATGCTTGGGGGCATGTCCTTTGACAATCTTGCCTCAGTCCTGGAAGGTACTTTCAGCTAGTCGGATTCATAACTGAGTCTTTAAAAGGTCTCTCCACCATTCTATCAAACTAGCTGCATCAGGATGGTGGAAGCATGGTAAGAGAATAAATCCCACGAGCACAGGCTGACTGGAACACTTCAGCTGCTATGAAGAGAATCCTTTGACCAAAATCAATGTTGCGTGAAATACTATGATGGTAGATAAGGCATTCTGCTTTTCTCTGGACAGTTTTGGCAGAAGCAGTGCATGCAGGAAAGGCAAATCTTTATCCAGAGTAAATATCTTTTCTAACAAAAACAAATGATGCCTCCTTCATGATGGAAGTGATCAAATATAATCTATTTGCCTGATCATCGCAGGGAATGGTGCCACACTGAGGACTCATGTTCTCTCTGCTCCTGGCAGATTGGGACTTAGCAGCGTCTGTAGCCAGACTGGCATGGTGAGGGGAAGTGCATGTTGCTGAGCCCATGCATTCCTCCCATTCCTTCCATCACAGCCAGTTTGTCATGTCCCACTGGACCGTGACAAAGGCAGTTGACTGTATCATCTTACCCCCTGGATTATTAAAATTTCCCTCTGGTAAAGTGGCCCTTTGGTGAACACTCAAACCAGACAAAATATCTTCATTCTGTTTTTGTCTATTCAGAGAGATCTATCTTCATGT